TGCTGGCTGGGGAATTCTGGGAGTTGAAGTCCACGCGCCTTAAAGTGCCCAAGGTTGAGAAACCCTGCTCTAGATCCTCCGGGCATTAGAAATGTTTTCTTTCTAAATACCTTCCCCGCACCCTCCCCAAATTCCAGCAGCCCCTGGAAGAATTTCCCCCCTTCTCATTTCATGCTCAGGGAATCAACCCAACCCTGGCTGACCTCAAAAAGCACACAGGGGTTGGTCCTGGGATGGAAGACCACCAGGAGATCCCCAGGGTGGGAAGCATGACTGAGAAGCCAGCAAAACATCTGGGAAGAAGACCGGGGCAAGCCATTTGAGCTCCAAGCCAGAAAGGGGCGTGGGAGCCACAGAGAGGGCGCCGCTGGAGCTGCCCCCATGCCACCAGCTTTTGTGCAGCCCCCCAAGGTTTCTAACATAGAAAACCGTTGCTATTGTGCTGTAGAAATTGCATAAATAAATAAAATAAAATAAATTTCTAAAATGAAATGACTGTGCACCCTGATTTATAAGACCTTGTCATCCCTGGCTCATGTATTTGTCATGTTTCTCGACACTCTGTGCCCCTTTTCTACTTCCTTGGGAGTTGGGGAGGATATAAATTTAATAAATTATTATTATTATTATCATCATCATTGTCATCCAATGCCTCTTCCAAAATATGCGGTCGCATATACTTGGATTCACATCCTGCCTTTCCTCTAGGAGTTGAGGGCAGTGTGCAGTAGACTCCTCCCATTTTCCCCACAACAACAGCCCTGCAAGGTAGGCTGGACCAAAATCTCTCTAGGACACTGCTCGGGGAACTTCCATGGCTGGGGAGGGCGGCCAGAACCTGGCTCTGCCTGATCCTAGTCCAATACTTTCCCTACAGCACCAAGCCGGCTCTTTTATTTGCTAGTTTTATATTTCAACATACGTTTAGGAGTGTAAGGTCACACCTTTCATGCCCTCCTCTATTTTTCTCTACAGCCACCCCGTGAGTAGGACGGACTAAGAGTGAGGACTGCTCGAAGGGCTGGGGGGGGACTAGAACCTGGGTCTCCCCAGTCCTCAAGCCGAACAAACCCTAAATCTAGGTAACCTGGCTTAATTTTGTTTTTATATGGTATGGAAGCCACAGACTAATTTAACTGTAGCAGGGTGGAAGTTTGATAGATAAATAAATAGATGAATAAACAAACCAACAATAGCCCAAGGCGCCCAAAATAATAAAGAGCACAAGCGCAGGGGTGTTGGGGGGAGTAAAAAAAAACCAAGATGGCAGTTGTGACCCATGTCCATTGCATGTAAAAAAAGGTGGAGGTTCAATTGCACGGCCAAGGCCACGATTCTGAATTTTTAGGACCCTGATAGAGCAGCTCCTATACAGTAGTCCTCGACTTATGACCACAATTGGGACCAGAACTTCCATCGCTAAGCAATGCGGTCATTAAGTGAATCGTGCCCAATTTTACAACCTATTTTGCTGCAGTCATTAAGTGAATCCAGCTTCTCCCATTCACCTCACTTGTCAGAAGCCCCCTGGGAAGGTCGCAAATGGTGATCGTGTAACCCCGGGATGCTGCAACTGTCGTAGATACATGCCAGTTGCCAAGCACCTGAATTTGATCACGTGACCGTGGAGAGGCTGCAATGGTCATAAGTGTGAGGACCAGTCATAAGTCACTTTCTTCAGCGCCACTGTAACTTCAAACGGTTGCTAAACAAATGATCGTAAGTTGAGGACTACCTGTAATTGCGATTGCAGCAGTTGGAGCATCTTAGGCTAGAAAGCTGGTGTGTGTAAGAGGGCCGTGGCTGATGCTGGCCAAAGGAATTCCTGGTCAAATCGTGTGGCTGGAGAGGGCTCTTTACAACGAGGGGACCCTTGACGTTAAATACTAGGGGACACCAGAACAGTCAAAGGCGGGTTTCAGATAGTGAGTCTGGGTGTGGAACTCACTGCCCCCAGTTGTGGGGGGCAGGAGGGCAGGAGGGGACCAACTGCAAGCTTCCCCGAGGCATCGAGGCGATCTAAAATGCTGGGCGAGGGCACCAAGCCAAACATCTGGCGTGGACCTGGCAAACGGGAATGGTATCTGCTGGCAGGCTCACCCATCACGCCAAGCTTGTACACGAACATCAGCGAGATCCCGATGGGCAGCCCAATGACGTAGTATCCAACCGCGTTGGCGATGGCGCCAACTTTCTGCTTGCCGGCGCCCCTCAGCACCCCTCCGCAGGTGGCCTGGCATGGAGGCAGAGCAGGTAGGTTGGAGAGATTCCTTTGCAGCCACACAGGAGCCCCCCAAAAGAGTCTCAAGCGCGAGACAAGGACTGGATTAAGATCCCTGCTCAGCTGGCCTACCTCACAAGGTTAGTGTCATGAGAACAGGCACATTCCTTGGAGCTGCTTGGAAGAAGCAAAGGGAATGTGTTTGCCCAAAGGACGCAAATCCGTTTTCAAAAGCTTCTATGAGTTCAGAGCCATCCACCTGCCGGAGAGACTCTCCTGCTGTGTCTCTGTATGGTGCCCTGTTCTGGTCTCCCAATTAGTATGCGCCGTCCCTGCCTTAGGGGCAACTAGATTGTATGTCTGAATCTGCTGAGAATCCCCTTCAAGGGGGAACCCTGGGCCTCACTCCTCAAATTATTATTCTCTTCCCCCCCAGCCATCTCTCCATAATTCATTCTGGTTTGGCCGGTCCTAGCACTCCCCCAAGGGCCGAAAGAAAAATTAAAAAAAAAAAAAACATTTATCCAGGAGCTAAGATTTCCACAGGAATGGGATCTAACTGTAGCCATGAGGGCTAGAAACGTGCCGCCTTTAAAAGCTCAAAAAAAGAGGATACGCTTTTCACGAAGTCTTTCTGGTGGCCGAGAGCATCTCACCCCACCCGCTGCCCTGGGCACCGCCGGGAACTCACCGCTGTGGCATCGAACAGGTGAAAAGGGGAGAAAATCAGCATAACTTTGGAGACCAAAGCCACAATCTCTCTGTTGGGGGAAAAGAAGGAGGGGAAAACATCAGGAGGTCTGAGTGGTAAAGGCCGGGTGAGAGCACGTTCACTGGAAGATAGAGGTCTCTGTCTGGGAATCCAAGCGGTTTAACTTCTGTGAGTCTCCGCGCCCGACCCTGAAGGACCTCAGCCGCTCCGTGGCCTGATGCGGCACGAAAGGTCCTGCCATGCGCCAGAAACGTCTCAGAAGCGCAGAGGGCCCCTTCGTCCTCATAAAAAAGGAGCAACCGGAGAAGACGCATGAAGCCATCAACAACATCTTCAAAGGAGTAAAACTCACAAGGAAGAAGAAAGCAGCAACACGGGACCCTTCCTGGATCTCCTCATTAGCAGAGGTCACGACGGCAAATTGGAAGTGCAAGTCTGTGGAAAAGGCAGGCTACGCTACCCAGAGTAACAACCCAACCTCCCACAAGGGGAACTGCGTAAGAACGTTTTTCAGATGAGCACAGACACACTGCAGCAACCCAGAACGGCGGGAAAAGGAAATACCCACACACCGCCCATACAACACCTCCCCACCAAAGGGATCCCCCTGCAACTTTATCGAAAAGTGCCTGGCCACTCAACGTACTCCGACACAACCGACACAAGCTATGAAAAGGATCACGCTGCCATACATCAGAAACGTCTCAGAAGCGCAGAGGGC